ATTCTGCTACAGAAGCAGACTTAGATTTGAGTTAAAATTTCAGTTATTTTTCAATTATAATAATAAACTGATATTTGAACAGTAAAGTGGAGGCCAAAAGAGGGGGAAATATAATAATTTTAACATTTTTTCATTTCATGTGGTTTCTATAATAAGGATTATCATCAATTTACAAATGTTGATTTAATTTTTTAAATCTAAACTTTTTCACGATCCTAGGGTCTGATCATAGTAAAAAGAAGTAATCAAATAATTACTGAATGAACATCACTTTAAAAAAATTTCACACAAAAAATGCCTAAGAAAAGAAAAAACGTATCATAAAATGTTTTAATGAATTGAAGCATTTATATACCACTTAAGCCCTTTCAAGAAAGTAATTTTTTTTCATTCATTTGAGGGAAAAATATGACTAGATATAAGGCACGCTTGTTGACAATAACAATGAATGCATCTTTAACTCGCCGTAGCTCAAGATGAACATATATTTTGTTTTTAACGTTTGAAAAAAGTGGGAATGAAGGTTTTTCAATTTCTGACAATATGTAACTTCCAACTTCTATTTAAAACTTTGTGTAATATTATTGCAGAACATCATATAAGTCGTGAAGAGACCAAATAGCTATATCACGAAAAATTAACAGAATATCTACGGCAGGTTACTGTCGGAAAGCTTATTACTGACAATTAAGTAGAATACATCAATCTTTCTTGAAATTTTCTTTAAGACAAATTGTATGCTCTCACAAGATACAATTTAGAAATACTTAATACAAATTTCTGACAATGATTAATTACCCGTTGCACTATGATCACATAATAGTAAATGAATTCAGGACAAAATGATTAAAAAATGAAAGACAATCTGTATATACATTCCGTTTATACAACCAGTTATGATGGCCCTACCTTGTACTCCTGGAGGTCTTTTATAGAACATGGCAGTGTTACCGTCTCTCCTGCTATGGCTGTTACATTGGTGATCGGGACGTCAAAACTGGGATCTAACGTTTCTACTGAAAAGAGGTACACAACAGATTTAGACCATTAAGATAACCTTCATATTAAAAAATAGTAGATAAATGTCCATGTCTTTCTCAATATATGTATATTAGAATTCAGAGATGTAAAAAAAAATATAAATACTCTCTTTTGACAAAATGTCGATTTTACTCTGATAAAATGAAGTGATGGTGAAATTGCAGTGAACATAGCTAACTTATGAATTGTTATGATTCAAACTAGACCTTTATGAAACAAGATGCGTTTGTGAAACACTGATGCCCCCGTATGGCAACAATTTAGCGAAGATTAAACTTCTCTTAAATGCAAACCCACTGGAAATACAGCTCTGAAATATGAAATAAGGTCAGGGTAAAGCATTTCTATCAGTTTGGAAATCTTGGTATCCAATGAAGGGAACTGTTCACAAGGATTACATGATGTATTAAATCAAATTCAAAAGTTATGAATAAAGTTTTTTATCAAAAATCCAAGGTTTTTTGGCTTAATAAGTCATGCCAAGGATGATTAAAGTTTGCAGAACAAGTGTTAAAAAATACAAGGTTGTAAAAGGACACAAAGGTCTTGCTATCAAATGAAAGGTCTTGTCACAAACATTAAATATGTAAAGTATGAAAGCACTAGCCCTAACCCTTTTTAAGTTCTCGTTAAGCTTTGCTTTTTTAAAGTATGTCAAACTCCAAGGTCAAAGGGTCAAAGTTCTGGGTATCCAATGAATGGTCTTTTCACAAGTATTACATATGTGAAGTATGAAAGCCCTATCCCTTACCGTTCAAAAGTTATGGCCAAGGTTAAAGTTTTTTTTCATAAGTACGGAAATCTCCAAGGTCAAGGTCAAAAGGTCAAGGTTGGTGGTATCCAATGAAAGGTCTTTCCACAAAAAATACATATGTGAAGTATAAATGTCCTGGTATCTACTGTTCAAAAGATATGGCCAAAGGAAAAGCTTGGAATTTTTGTGTAAAAGTTTTTTTCCAAGGTCAAAGTAGGTCAAAGAAAGGTCTTGTCAAAAGGAATACGCATGTGAAATATGAAAGTCATAGTCCACTAAATCAAAAATTATGAGAAGGTTTTTTTTACACAGACAAACAGAGAGACAGACAGAGAGACAGCCAGACAGACAGACGGACGGACACGACAAAAACTATATACCCCCGAACTTCATTTACGGGGGCATAAAAAAGTACTGTGTTCGAATATTCATGAAAATAACAGAGAGGATAGAAAGGAATTACTTTGCATGATTATTAAATAAATTCAGTTAATAGGTATTATCAAAAGCGGTTTTTTTGGCTATTAATCATGAAATGATTTGTTTGCAGACAGTGTTAAAAAATACATGTAAAAGGACACAAACGAAAAAAAAAACGTGCTTGTGAAACACTGATGCAACCGTATTGCAGCTCATATTAAAATTTCTCACGTACAAGCCAATTAACTCAAAGGACTAAGTCATCCAAGCACCAAAAAAGTTATAAAAAAAGGTTTTTTTTTTAAGGAAGTCAACCTCTGACGTTAAAGGGTTAAAATAAGTTGAGGGCTTTTTCCACACAGAATAAGTCATTGAAATATGAGATTCCTAATACAATTTGTTTAAAAGGTATAGCCAAGGTTTAAAAGCAAAAGATCCATGGAAAAAAGTAAAAAAAAATATTTGTTTTTAAGGAAAGATCTTGTCACAAGGAATACACCTGTGAAGTATGAAAGCAAAAGATCCTTCCAATTAAAAGTTAAAGATAATGCTGAAAACAGCTTAAAGCTAGACAGACAGATGGACGGTCAACGGACAGTGCAAAAGCTGTAAGACCCTGTATCTTCAATTATGGACGCATAGAAAATTTTTAGATTTCCCGTTAAGCGATAAAACATGATAGACATGATAAGCACTCGTATAACCTTAATGTCAACTGTACAAATGAAGTAATATTTACTCAGAGTGCATTTATTTTTCTTTTATTCCCTTTCATCCCACGATTACCAAAGAATTATCACGGACACATTCAGTTTTGATACTTCCCATTGGGAGCTTCTATACAATTTGTATCAATAATTAATATGCTAACTGATTGCAGTCTCCATGTTCTGGTATGTTTTTTTTTTCTTGCAACTCGGCATTGACATGTGCAAAGAAATAACTGCCTTATACCATTGGAATGGGCCCAAAATATGTACTATTGATAGTTTCTCACTGACATGAGTCATTATGGTTAGTGACTTAAACCAAATCCATCAAAATATCTGTTCCCAGTAGAATAAGGATGTATTACTTAATGAATTTCTTGGACTGACCTCTGACACATGACCCTTCAAAGGTCATCTTATGCGAACGGCAAACCAGAAAACAAATGAGGTAAAACTATCGATTCCAAGCATAACAGGGACCAAGACAAATGCTCTTGTCTGAATTAGGGTGCTTTTCTATTGAAAGTTCTAGGAATTATATGTCAAAATTATTTCGGAGGCATCTAGAAAACTAATTACGTAAAATTCAATATGGTTCTCTACACTAAATTGCTTTTCCTAAATTACTTCTCTTTCTCTATTCTTTTTTTGACAAGAAATGAGAATTTCAGAGACATATTACTTTCTTTTCTTGAACATAACATGCATAACTATCTAGTGACTTATTATCTAGTGACTTATATAGTTTGACCATTTCAACATCAGACAATGGTCTGATATATTACGATTAATTTGAACAAATCCTTGGCCACGAACCAAGTCAGAATAAAAACCTGTTTCACATAGAATATGAATAACAAATTTTAGTTTCTTTTTCTATCATATACTATGGACCCTCGATTACGTAGTTTTATGCTTATTGAAGCAATAAGAATCGTAATTTTTAGTTTTTACAAGTGCTTTGTTCTTTTGTAAATATTAATCGTCCTTGCTACTAAATTATAATCCTTCAACAGTCCTTTTCCTGACTGATATACATAGGTTAAAGAGATGTTCCATCGAAAACAACCAGTCTAATGTATCAAATGCCAACATGTTTCCAAATATCAAACTATTGCATTCTATTTGTTTGTACCGATGATAAGTTTACAGTCTGTTGTGTTTCACAGAAAATTTAAAAAATCCTTTTTAACCTAGAAGATGCTGCCTTCATAAAAGAGTTTATATCACCCTTTCTCTATTTAAACATGTTGTCAGAATAAGACTTGCTTCAGAAATGCTTCTATCATTACTGATTGATTTGTCATGGGGTTTAAAGAACTAGACGATGGTTTAGAAAATTTAAAGAACTCACATAAAATACACACCTATAAATTATAGTGATTCCATGTTTTGCTGGAACGATTACATGGAGGGGTTATGTCTCTACTAGAAGTAGTCATTCATAATCAAGCCAATAATTACAGATTTGCCATAATTTGTGGAGATCTGGTTATTGTCAAAATTGCAGTGTCGTAATCTTTGGAAAAAACAAGAAAGAAAGGAGAATCCTCGGTTTCATCGATTCTATTCTAGTATTGCAAACTGAAATAAATCCTTGAAGATATTTCTTAAAGCCAGCAGTACGTAATCATGAGTTAGATTTTAATGTCAATGAAGAAGAATGGACACTTCTATAAAAAATAATAAAATCTATGAGTTGTTATTAATGACAAATTAAAAAAAAAGTATCCGAGAGATATCAAGTTTATTTGTTTGCATTACAATATATTCATATAATTAACGGTAATTCTTTAACCATACAACACATTATATTATTATCTGATAACATTTATTAATTTTTGTTTGTTTGTTTGTTCAATGTTTAAGTCCCCTCTAGATATTGAATTGAGAATTTTTCACCCGTATAGAGACGCCACCATGTGCCTGTAAAGAGTTACAAATTAATACCTATACCAACTCAGGACTACAAAAGCCTATTCGAATCAATCTATAGAGAAAAAAAAAAATAAAAGGGACTATAACGCCTGCATATGGAGTTTATATATCTCAGTTGATTCGATACACAAGAGCATGCTCTACGTATGTACAATATCTAAAACGGGGTAAATTATTGACGGACAAGTTGACGAAACAAGAATATCAGCAGTCTCGTTTAAAGTCATCAATTCGTACGTTCTATGGTCAATACAATGACCTTGTCAGCAAGTACAGTTTATCATTGAATCAAATGCTGACAGACGTTTTTCATACTAATTGTTAGGCCATTAATTATACAATGAATTGACGACGGATTTTTCTGTTATTTCCCGATCATGACAAGGAGCACACAGCGGGTGTGACCGGTCTGCAGGGGATGCTCAGTCCTCCTTGGCACCTGATCCAAGCTCTGATTTTTATGAGGTCTGTGTTTGCTCTGCTCCTGTTTTGTATTGTTTTATGGACTTTTGATCTTGAATTCTGTTCATTTTCTCCCTATGTTTCATTGAAAAGGCTGACATCAAAAAGATGCTTGAGTTTCTGATTGACAGACCAGGTCTTCAAACAATCTATTGGAATTCCCATGGATACCAACTGCGCCCCGTTATTAGCCTATTTTTGTATTCATATGATGCAGAATTTGTTCAAAATCTTATACGTGAAAAGAAGGTAAAAAACACTTTTAGATATTTTTACATTTAGATATATCGACGACTTATTGTCAAATAACAATGGTAATTTCCATTTTTATGTCGATATGACATATCCTGGTGAGCTTGAGATAAAAGATACCAAAGGGTCTGACACATCTGTTTCATATTTGGATGTTTTACTTGAAGATACGTTAATGGTAATCTAACAACCAAGCTCTATGATAAACGTGATTCCCATGAACCAATATATTTTACTTAAACCATGACCCCTTTAAAATATGTGATTTGACAGTATGCAGCAATATACCTTCATCACTTGCATACGGAGTTTATATATCTCAGTTGATTCGATACGCAAGAGCATGCCCTACGTATGAACAATTTCTAAAATGAGGTAAATTATTGACAAAAAAATTGATGAAACAAGAATATCAACCTCTCGTTTAAAGTCATCTTCATGTAAGTTCTATGGTCGATACAATGACCTTGCCAGCAAATAAATTTTTAACTGAGTCAAATGCTGACTGACGTTTTTAATTCATACTTCTTGTTAGGCCATTATTTCTACACTGAATTGACGACGGATTTTCCTGTTATTTCCAAATCATGACAAGGAGCACACGGCGGGTGTGACCGGTCGGCAGGGGATGCTCACTCCTCCATGGCACTTGATCCCACCTCTGATGTTTTTAGGTCCGTAATTGCTCTGCTCCTTTTTTTTTTTTTTTTGGTTGTTTTATGGATTTTTGAACTTGAATACTATTCGTTATCTCAATATGTTTCATCTGAATAACACGGAGAAAGTCGTTATAACGCTTTTAACAAAGGAGTAAAAGCGCAAAAAAGTCGTTGTTATTCCTTTTCAAAAGGCGTTATACGACTTTCCAAAAGGCGTTATTGCGACTTTCCCAAAGCGTTATTACGCCTGTTTCCAAAAAGAAATTATTACTCCTTTTTTCAAGTATTCATTTTCAATGCATCACTAACTTAATTATGACAAACTCTTTTTTTGCTTTCCTCCTAAATGTTTTGGACTATAGAGCAGAAGCTCTAACCACTATGCCGCACGGGTGAATATTCATAAATCAATATATTCCTCAAATGATATGTAAACGTAAGGTAGCACGAAGGCATAACCACATTTTTTGATGATATTTTGTATAACTGTAGAAGACAAATTTAAATAAGCGGACTTCTAATTGATTCAATTTTAATAAAAACAAGAAGTTTGTCCTTTTTTAAAACACTTTTCACTGTATATATCATTGAATATTGTAAGCTGTCTGCAAACCTGTTTAATGGCAAACATTGATTATGTCATTTGATGTTGAGTTCTTTGAAAATCAGTACATGTACTTATAATTAGTATCGGGTAGAGTAGTGGGCACGCTGCGGTGTGATTAATTTATCATATGCACGCGTGCTTTCAGTTTGGAATATTTCATTCAGATTGATGGACTTGTTTACACAAGTGTTACTCTGAAGAAGCTAGTGCTGACGTTATTCTGCTTAATGCGCACATCTTCCCACCTCTCCCTGGATTCGTCCTAAGCTCTGTTTCTTTGCAATTTGACGAGTTTGGATTTCGCAAAACGAAGCCAATCAAAAGATCAGAAGACACAATAATGATACACTGTATCAAGGGAACGTGTTTTGAAATTTTGGATTTCAACTTTCAAACAATTCATTTTTGGTTACATCATTAATGTCTCCTATACGCATTTGGGTAATAGATGATTTTTATCATAAAACTATTAAGGTTTAGCAGCCAACCCCTCTCGCCGTGACTTTTTTTCTTTTTTTAAATTAACCTTTCAAACACAGCATCTAACGTACGAATTTTTCATATTTCACAGAAATATTGTAGAAAGCAAGCCTGGTTGTATTGCTCTTTTAAATCCTTGTACAGTTTCTGCTGAGAGCTTTGTCGTCAGCCTAATATGTTTTCTAGTGATAATGACTGCAATACCTCTTCACCAGAACAGACTATTTATTGACCAGCATTAAGAGGCACACATCGCCATTATTCCGATATTATCGATGATTTTTCAACAAATGGTTTTACCACAGGTTTTATAATTCGATAACGGAAACTTATTCATTAGGTAATTTAATTCAGTTAATTGAAATCAAACAAATTCTAGAATATGGCGAATACTATCTAATGGCTCTTAAGTAATCAAAGATTAACTATTTATATATCTTGCAAACAGATTATTTTTGAAACGAGATATCCAAATACAGCCAGGTAAATATAACAAAAATATAATTGAGTTTTTGTAATTATCACCACTTCTCCAAAATATTCAAAAGGACAGTTTATCAGATTATTTTTTTTTATTCTTTCCACAGACAGCTCTTTCATTCTTATTAACCTGAAATTGTCTCTCTGAGATGCAAATATTTTGAATTAATAAAAGTGACCATATTTCAACAACCAATTATCTTTTTTCGTTTATATTTTTATGCCTCCATAATCAAAGCTTTGGGGGGTATATAATTTTTGCCCTGTACGTCTGCCGGTCCTCTGTCTATTTGTCTGTTTGTTTGTTTATCTGTTTTTCCGCAAAAAACTTTAACCTTGACCATAACGTTTGAGTGGGTGAGATATGGCTTTCATGTTTCACAGATGTATTCCTTGTGACAAGTTCTTTCTTTGGGTACACTAAATTTGAAATGGTGACCTTGGAGTTTGTCCTATTTTACTAAAAATTCCCAGTCTTCAATAACGTTTAACTTTGGCCGTAATTTTGAATATTAGGTATTAGGGCTTTCATATTTTACACTTGTATTCACTGTGATGAGCCCATTCAATGAATATAGAAAATTTTGTTCTTTTGACCTTGATTTAAAGTTTGATCCACGGTTAAAAAACTTTAACATTGACCATAATTTTTGAACTGTTAACACTAGGGCTATCATATTTCACAGATGTATTACTTGTGACTAGACCTTCCTTTAAATACCAACAGTTTTGACCTTTTGACCTTTACCTTAAAATTTGACATCTATTTGAGAAACTTCAACCCTCGCCATAAGCTGGTATACAAGGGCATCAGTGTTTCACAAACACATCTTGTTTGATACATGTTATATTTAAAAAAATCTATGAAATATATTTTTAAAGTTGTATTTTTTAGGGACATTATAAAATATAATACTATGAAAATGAGAAAGGTCAACACTGTAAAAAATGTGTTTAGCTCCTAAACGTTTTTCTAAACACTTCCTATGTAAGAGATTTTTTACGTGTTTAATTTTCGAACATGTTCTTAACTTAAACATATTTAGAAAAGTGCTTAAACTCTAAACATGTTACTCATGTTTTGCGATTAGGTTATAAACACATAATTTTTCATGTGTTTAAAATCTAAACACATTAATTCAATGGTTCTAAAGCATATTTCAAAATGAAACATGTAAATTTAGCAACTATTACATATTTTTTTGATGTCTAATTTGTTTAAATTAACACAAAAACCTCAAATGAGACTGAAATAATGAATTTAACATTTTATTGGAATAATTTTTCAATTTTTCAAAAATGAACAGGCATTCTTCATAACTCGTGTATTCAAGTTTCAATTTTCTTTTCTGTACTTCATATTACAAACAAAAAGAATGTATACATAAAAATTTTGTACTTTATTTTTGGACACATCTTTACAATTTGGCTAACTCATCATCCACCTTTCTAGAAAACTTCAGGTAGTTCGTGGACATAAAGAAATAATTCTTTCTGTCATGAAGTAGATAGTGTTGAAGAAATCCCAACAACTGATATTGTTTGGGATATGTCAGATCTAGTGCATAGTATGTAAAAATTAAAATGTTCAACGCTTCCTTTACGTCGTGCCCCACATCCATACTGACACCATCACCAACCACGATACATGTTGATATGGATTCATCTCCATTAGTGACAACAACAAGCCTTGGTGCCTCAGATTTTTTCCCGGCCAGTACCATGTCGGAAGACTGTATAATGAAACATCATTATATAAAGATCAAATTCATGCTTGAATTAAAAATGGGGTTGGGTTTTGGAAAGGGACCCCTTTCTTATTTGCAGTTGTTAAAGTTATGTACATGTAATACACTAATCAAAAAAAAAGCTAGTTAACTTGTTCAATACTACACAGCAGATTTCCATACCTTGCATTTTGAAATCAGTGACACCATTGCTTTTCCCTTGGACTGGTATTTAATTTGCTGTGATACTGTTTCCATGCAACTGATGATGTCCAACTCACTCTCCTGAACATAATTATACTTGATTTAATTCCAGTATTAACATGTACAGTGCTATTTGTTAATGAGGAATTCTCAGATATAAGAATTATCATTACTGCCAGTTAGTGGCCACTGTGATATGTTTTCTTAATCTGATAGAAAGAATATTGATAATTCAGTTTCACTGTTTAACACTTAGGTTTCTTTGTCTTACAATGGATATGATAATCAGATATATATAAAAAAGTTTTGTAAAGCAATACTTGAGTACAAGTACAGATATCATTTACACTGAAGAACCATTTACTTACCCGTGAATCATCAAATAGCTTATCCAAGGTATTGAGAAGTTTTTCCCAATTACCTATCAACTCCTTTTTCTCCTGTCCACTCATCAAGAAGTATTCCTTTTCAATCTGTTAAAATCATGTACAATTTTTAAATATAAATGTTGAATCACTAATAAAGCTTTTTTTTTGAAAAAAAAAATTAATATCATTCAATTATTAGAGTAACATGATAAAAAAAAATGATAATCTTACATAGTATGGCTTCCCAAGAAGTGGAAACTTCTTGAGAATTGCATCTATGTTGGAATTTGGAAGTCCTTGTATGTATGCCCTCCTTTCTTTGAAAGAGCTCCTGAGTGTCTTCAGAAGAAGGGCCCTGTCTTGGTCCTTTGAACATTTTTGTAGTTCATCCTGCATAGTTTTTGTGGCAATTTCTGTTGACATCTGAGGCTCATCTGAAAACATTATTGCAACGGTGACTTATGCAATAATGATGAAAATTTAAAATTTGGTAATGAACATAAATTTAAATACCAATAAATTTATTTACCATTCAGATCTATAGATGGAAGGCTTTTCCTTTCTTTCTTAGATTTTGGTTGTCCTTCTCCTTTACTCCGCACATTCCATTTCCATCTAATATGTCGCACTTTTTGGGAAAGTTTCTTGTTGAAGAACCCCTAAAAGAAAAATTATCTATATAAATAAACAGTTTACCCAAATAACATGAATAATATAAGGATAACATCAATCAGAAACCATTAAGTAATGTTTACCCATTGATCTTTCATTGCCTTGTGTCCAATGCATGGGTACTTCCCATACATGAAGCGACCAAACTCCTCATATGTTCCTCTGGAATTGAATTCCCCAACAGCCAAGACATGGTAGGCTGTCTCTTCGATGAATCTTTCCCATTCATTATGAATATTCCCATTTTCAAGGAGACCTTGCACAATAGCGCTGTATTTTGGCAAATATGAATCAATCGATTTTTTTTCTGTAGTCATGGTAGTTGTTGTTGACTGTGTGACACTCGAAGCTGATGTGGCCAAACTTGATGTTAGATCTGATGAAGATGGCATCTCAGTTGTTGGTGATGATGACAATTCTCCTTGCATGGCTTGCCCTTCCTGCATGACAATGATGGTATCTAGAGGTTCCTCCACTCCACAGTTGATAAGGTTTCCGTCTGCATCTATATGAAAAATCTAACAAAAAGAAACAACTTACATTCATGCAAAAAAAAGTGTAACAGGATGTTTTTAATTATTTTGCAGTTATGTTTAAATTTCAATCTGTAACCAAGTTTTGCATCAACTTACCTTGTCAACTGCCTCACTCCTGCTGTTTAGTCTTTTTATTAGTGTTGTAAGTTTTCTAGCCACCCCAACTTTGTGAGGAAACATAGAAAACAGATCTTTCTCCTCTAAATGTAATAGACCACAACCATCAACTTCATTCCCTGTTGATAAAATAGTACTAATACTTCAGTCTGTCCTTTTGAAGCAAGTTTTACTTTCATGCACACTCTACCAAATCAGCACCAGATGAAATCCACATTATGCAAAACAACATGCAACATCCCACAAACGAAAGAAGACTTCTGGGGCCATTTATATTTCAAGTCGCATGCAGAGACGCAACGATATCTGTTGCCTAGGGTGCACTTAAATGCATTTAAGTGATCATCATATTCTTCTACTTCTAGTTCTTCAATGCTGAAATATTTTCTATGATTTACAATAAATATATTTTTGATAACTCCAAATGTTATATCTAGGTCAGAATAGCTAAGGATGAGTATGCTCCCTTTTGAGTAAGTGATTGACTTTATCTCAGCTTTTCTTGTACACATGATGACTTCAGGAATCTCAGTCTCATAGTTAAGAATGCAATTCTTCAGACTTTCAGAAAGTTCAGTTTTGTTAATTTCATTCCCTTGTTCAACTATATCTCCTCCATATAAGTATACAGGTGACTTTTCACCAAGAGCTCCACTTTGTTGTAAACACATCCATCTCTGGTGGTGAAGTGCAATTGATTGAGGAACACATTTGAAATTTTTCCACTTCTTATTTTTAAATAAACCATGCTTTGCCTCAAGTCTAACGCACCAATGATTCCTACCTGGACCAAATAAGCGTAGCTGTTCAGGCAGATGTGTAAGATAGTGCATTTTAGGTGGAATACTTTCCTGTGGATAAAGTTCCCGATATTTATAGTTGTGAGTTGATATTAACTGATACAAAGAGTCAATGCTTTCCATTGAACACACAGGGGATATAACAAGCACTGTGATTTGCACTAATCGGATAAAATTTTTCCACATCTCATCATTTCTATCAATCTTCTCTCCAATCATGAGTGGCAACAGTAAAATAAAATTTTTTGTTTCAATTGCAGTCATTGCCAAATTATTTTGTGTGCACAGAGATTTTTTCTCCAATTCCTGTGGTCTGTCTTGCAAATCTGCTTCACTGTAGTTGAAAGTTTTTATAATATTGTTCAAGTACTGTAAAGAAAAATATTTCTTCCTATCTATGAAATTGGAAAGCATCAGCTGGAGTTCCTTTTTAACTATTCCTTCCAGTAAAATATGCATCGGATCCTGTAAAATACATTTTGTTATGTCAAAAAAAGGTAAATCTAGAAGACAACTCCTTGATGTTATTCCATACATTTTTGACCAATAAGACTTTGTTTCCCCTCTCAGTTCTTGCAAAGTGTCGCACCGATCTCGATGTTCTTGCTCTGATCGGAGTGGAAATTGATCACCTGTCCTACTCTGATCCAAAACATCACGAGTAACTTCACAAGTTCTGCAGGGTTTAATGGCCAATCCAACGCCCTCTTTGAATCCCCCTAAAAACTGTGCTGCGGGAGTATCACCCATAACATAGTACAATGCACCACAGTATCTTTTCTGTTGGCCCATGATAATGAAATCTTTCCCATTGAAAAGTTCTGTTAAACATTCAATGAAATTTTCCAGAAGTTTGTCAATTCCAAATCTTCTGATATGTTTTGATGATGCAACAGCAAGGAGTTGTGTGGCTTGAAGTTTGAAACGGGTTTCTGGAGGAAGATTGAGTAAATTCCAGTATATGATTGATATTTTATGTTTCTTCTTGTGTGACCCAATTGGATTAACTATTTCGAAATCATCATGATATATACTGAAAAGTAAGACATCTTGGTGGGTTTGAATGTATTCTTTCTGAAAATAAATACCATCAAATATATCATTAAAGTCAAAGTACCCATTTCTTTGATTTTGAAAGTCAAGCGATTCTTGGACTTCTGGCATTTTCAGTAATTCATTCAACTGATCAAAGAAAGGCACATAAAATCCATATATTTCCTTCAAAACAACACGATATTGTTTTTTTATTTTTTTCTGCACATACATTTCACCAAGTTTTACAGTCTGTGGTTTAATGTATCCAAGATGTTCAAAGAAACACTTTTCCTGTAAATATTCAGTTTCTAATCCTTCAAATGTATTGTCCTGCAAAATGTCATCTAAATTAATTGTTGAGACAACTTCTTCAGGAACGCTTTGTATTATTTTTCTTTTAACAATTTCTAAGCAATCAGAGATGAGTCCCTTTGTAGTTTTCATAATTTCATCAATGGATACTTGAGTTAAGTTGTGCTGAGCTTTCAGTTTCAAAAGATATTGGGCTTCTGACATTTTTCGGTGAATACCACATTCATCAAATGTAGAGTCCTGCAAATCATCAATGCTATCAACATCCTCTTCACAGTTAAAATTATTTAATTCCATGTTGCTGTGTTTTCGGTGAAAATGTACATGATAAGTACTTAATTTTTTAAATGATGCTCCACATCCATCTGCATTACAATGTACTATGAAATTTGGTGCATTTTTGTGCCTTTTGACCAAGTGTTTATATAGTCTATCACTACTACAACTGTAGTATGGACACATACTGCAGTTATATGTGTTTTGTTCCATGCTTTGTTTTCAGTTGATATACTACGCAGCTAAGTTACATGTATGACATGCTGCAAGCTGAAAACAAAATATAACAATAATAATTAATGATGTGCAGATAGAGCTTTTTGTGATCATTCTACATGCAAAATAAATGGTGGAACATTTCAGTGCAAAACATATAGCATAAATTACAAGTTGTTGTTCTGTTAAATTAAATATATCAGGCCAAGTACAATCACTAGATTTAGATTTGTAGCATGAATTAATAACTACATATGGCTTCATCAACTGTTTTATATAACCCAAACCATTGACTGCAAATGCTATGAGGAAGACAAATAGCAATTTTTGTGTGCATTGTTTTCGGGAAAGTTTACAGCTGACAACTATCGAAGTATCACTACTCAAAAGTATGTTAAAAAAGGTAAACAAAGCTTATTTGAATAACTAAATTAAGGTATGGCTTTTTTGTCTTACTAACACATTCAAGTTGTGCAGATAACACAAGTGATGGTACCGACCTGTAAACATGCATCTAATTCTTGAACATATTAGTAACACTAATGCTAATAGAGGTCAACATCATTCATAAATTCATGTAGTACTCGTAATTACCTTTCAATACATTGCTACTTTCCTCGCTGATACCATTTGATAATAGCCATTTATGGACGTCTTCCACAGAACTGCGTTCAGTTATCTCCATCATGTGCTATCAAAAGGTGTGAAGAAGATATTTTAACATGTTCAATACATCTATAGCCTAAATTGTAATCTTTTTCAAATTTCGTTGTTTTTAACATGAAATTTCGAACACCCCGAGCCCGATTGACTTTGACTGAACGAGTCCGATCGTATTTAAAGTACACGTTTTTTTCAGTACGTCTTATCTTATCTGTGCAGTATACATGTATTATGTTCCTTTAAAAATATATTGTAATTTATGCATAGATTTCATTTATAACCTTTGAGAAATGTCCTCATGCAGCACTGGTAAAAATTCTTTCAATTTTCACCATCGTGATAATTTAAAACACTCTAGACTCTGCTAATTTATATTTTCCACGTCTAAAGTGGGGAACATGTATTAATAAATCGAGAGAGAGAGAGAGAGGCGTGGAGGCAGGGGAGAGTCAATTATTATTATAAATTCGAAGATTCAGATTACATTGATTATATTCAAACCCTTTATATCCTAAAAATGACAATAATACTCTTTGAGAACTTGAACATTGCACTTATGCACATACTTGTGAAATCAAAATGTTTAAATTACCTTCGAAGAGAACGTATTTCTTCTTCTACTCAGAGTGTGTTGTTATTCCAGCTAATCCTTTGTCTCCAAATCAGCGGGAAAATATAGGCGCGATAGATAAACAGTATGTGTTCACCCCCTAAACGTGTTTAACTTACAAACATGTTTAAAATAATCAGTTTAGAAATCAAACACTTTCCCAAACACGTTTACTTTTAAACGTGTTAAGAAGATGTTCAGTATCTATACACATTTTTTACAGTGAAGTTCATCAATATTACCAGTTTAAAAAACTATACATGTATTAGAAAGAAAAAAATATCAAAGATTCATATGATACATTTTTCTTTTTTCAGTAATACGTAGAATATGAGAAAATGGCAACTTCAGTACATGGTGCATTTCTAGGTATACATCAATAAAATCGTTTCAAATTAGGATTAGAGGAAGAAACATGCTATTTCTCACAGATATTGTGTTTTTGTATGACGTCCTGTTATTCTCGAAATGGCTTTTTGGCTGTAAAGGATCAAGTGATCAACACGATTTCCTAACATAAACAAAAGGAGATACCACGTTATCAACACATTTTGTGACGGAGAGGAAGACTTTCGCCGTTACTTCCATCAAACATTCGCCATAAATCCGTCTGTCAGTCCCTTGGATAGGCTAATATCTGTTTTATGATATGGAGCCGAATTTTCTAATCCAAATATTAATTTTGCTTGATTCAAGTGACACATGTTTCCCCGACACGCTGCCGTATTTAGTGACTGAGTCATTAATATTTGGTCCTATCGATACTGCTGAACCTTCGCTAGGCGTAATTAACTTCTGTGATCACTTCATAGGGGATCAGCTGTCTTTTCACAGTGTGGAAAGAAAAACAACAGAAATTATATTTTTATTCACAATAAAAATGAAACATTAGGAGGCTATTTGATGTATTGTTTCCATTTTAGAAAAAAAAACTTTATTTTATTAAGGTAGGATGTTCGTCAGACTTGATTTTTGATTTACATTTATTATAGAAAATTTGAATTTCATTCCGATTAAATGAGTTCAGAATTTCTATAAAAACGTTTTTTACGTATTTCAACTGAGTCAAGATCTTGAGTGAAAACTTCAGACATTAATTTTTCATACAGGTGTATAGTGTTATCTTAGTTATAACTACATGATAAGTTACTATAATAAAAAAAAATATTTCTGTTACATTTACGGGTAAAGGAAAGCGGAATTAAAGCGAAGAGATTAAATTCAAGCAGTAGTTTATTAGCAGCACGCTCTCCAATTTTCTACATGGTTCTAACGTAACATATCAGGGCATTATAAAATACAGTGCGAGAAATCCTTGTTAAAATCATCAAAAAAAATAAAAATAAAATGTTCAAAGACATTCCCAAGCATTTACCTGGCATATTAAAACAAAACTGTACAATAGTCAAAGGTTTTCTTGGTAAGTATTGCAGGTGTCATAACAGTATATCACTACAGTTCACGTCAAATCATGGCTGACGCAAAATAATCCCTGAATCTCACCTTCCGATTCGGGCAGTTTGATACGAGACTGGAGCTGATTTTTTTTTTACGAGATGAAAAACATGTAAACTTCCTGTATTGACCAGATTTATTAGAATTTATGGCGTGCTGATTTTTCTATATACTGTACTTGAGTGGGGAGTGATTAGGCCCTGGACTAGATTTTCAAGCACCTGCTGGACTTCGACCGAAACAAACTTGCGTGCCTTGCTTGATGGCTATTCATTTTTGGTACTAAAATCTTTATAAAAAATTGTTTTACAAGATCTGAAAAGGAAACTTCTCAGAAATTTGTTTTGAATTAATTACATCTACTGAAACTTGCGCATTTTTGGTAAGAATATATAGTAGAATTTAATACTGTTGTGCAACCTAAAATTCCTATGCCAATTCTCCAAGACAACGTTACAGTCAATAGTCAGATATTTCACGTCCTATAACATCTGGATGGGGCCACTGGCCACTAGAAAATCGACATTCCCCAGGTCGACTAGAGATTTTGAACAATTGAAAACCAATTTGTATGAGGAAAGAATCGAAAATGACAATCTGAATGTCGTCTTTTTATTTGCAAGGGTCTTAAGTTCCTCATTAATCTTATTCAGAGGCAGATCGTATTGGAGAGAGAGAGAGAGAGAAATATATATAGAAATATTTAAGAAATAGTTAATTTAGCAATTCCTCTATCATAGATTATATTTTGTATAGAGTTTTTACAGAAAAAAATTGTTGATAATTATCAAATCAGAGATAAATAAACAAAATGCAATGAGTGATTAAATAAACAAAAGTGCCCTGTGATGCTTTGCCTAAGTTGGTATCTATTTGATAATTGATGTAATTAATGTATCCAGAAAGAAAATAATTGACATTAATTCCGTTTGAAATCCTAGGATTAAAGCAATTATTATTCATTAAATGCTCTTTTTTTACTAAATCTAATGAAGAAAAAAACCCAGATACTATGCACCACTTTATTAAGTATGGCGAACGTGCAAGTACGGGTGGATTTCCTGGAGAATGGCAGGGGAGGTTTCTTCCTTCTTCATGGTGATTTCAAGTACTCCATAAGAACAAGATACAACGACAGAACCTACTGGAGATGTATTGACAGACAGTGTCCAGCTTCATTAACAACATCTGAAAACATCGTGGTGAACTTTGGCAGACCACACAACCATGATGACAACTACATTGGACTAGCAGCCGAATCCTTCATCAGTGGTGTGAAGAAGAGGTGCAGAGAGGAGGCAACACCAATCCCCACCATCTATGATGAAGAGTTAGGAGGTTTGCTCAACACCGAATGTGATGATTCAGTGGTGGATATGATTAGGAACATTCCAACATTCCAGGCCTGTAAGTCCGCTTTGTACAGAAACCGGGCTAAGACAACTCCAAAGCAGCCTACTTCACAGGAGGAAGTTAACCTCAATGGACCATGGACCTGTACTTCAGCTGGAGAAAGGTTCCTTCTCTGTGACGACACTGATGCCCAAGGACACCGAATCCTGATATTTTCTACAGACTCCAACTTACAGCACTTGTGCGCGGCAGACACCGTTTTCAGTGATGGAACATTTTATTCCTGCACCAGATTATTCACACAACTCTACACACTGCACGCCAATGTGAACGGAACTATGTTTCCCCTCGTGTTTGGACTTCTACCCAACAAGAGTGAGGCCACTTACAACCGTTTCTTAGTGCTTCTGAAGGATGCAGTTAGTGACCGACAGTCCGTGTTAACTCCCGAACATTGGTTACTGGACTTCGAAATCGCCGCAAGGAATGCAGTTCAAGGAAACTTCCCTAGGACATCTATCAAGGGATGTTTTTTTCCATTATACCCAGTGCATATGGAGGAAAGTCCAATCATGTGGATTGACGACACAATTCCGGGAGGATGAAGACTTTCATCGCCTGGTAAGGAGAGCGGCTGTTCTTCCCTTGGTTCCAGAACAGCGAGTGGAAGACGTGTGGTTTGAGGCACTAGAGGACAACGAAGACGATAATCAAGATGTCGGACGTTTCAAAGACTATATGACCGAGGCCATCTGATGAATTGGAACCATTATGACAACGAAGGACCAAGGACAACAAATGCAGTGGAAGGATGGCATCACAAGTTCAAACGAATGTGTCGCCGCCCCCATCCAAATTTGTTCATGTTTGTACAATTAATTCAGAAGGAGCAGGCATTAGAATTAGAAAAAAAATTTTAAAAAATTAAAAAAAAAATTAAAAAAAGTAAAATAAAAAAAATATTGTAAAAAAATGTCATCAAGAATTAGAAAAGACATTTTAATTAATTTTAACAAGAATCAAATATAATTAATAAAGAATTTAAAATAATTCATAGCACTGGTCATTCTAAAACAGACTATAGGACACCTGTAATTAATTTCTTTTGTTCTCCCCCTGCCCTTACCTGTACACCATTCCCACTTAGCCAAAACCAGTCACCTGTATCAATTTCAGAATTTTGGCTAAGTGGGAAGACACCAGAGAGAGAGAGAGAGAGAGAGAGAGAGAGAGAGAGAGAGAGAGAGAGAGAGAGAGAGAGAGAGAGATTTTGATGAGTTTTTCAAATATATTTTCCACCCAAATTTTGGATTCCCTTTGTTGAATTTTACATTTCATTATTCCTAGGATATTTGGGCGTTTCAGTATTAAGGATTTTAGGGGCCACAAACTTTTATCTGATGACTGTAGCATGCAAAAGATTCTCATTCCTTGATCTTGTATGCATTAAATATGTAGGAAAGAGGATTTCAAAAAAACGAATTTCAGATATGTATGTCAAATCAATATCTTAACAGTACTCAAATTAAAAAAAAATGTATAGTTAAGTTTAATTTCTTTTTTTTTAATTTTACAAATTAGAAGGTACTTTTCAATGGTTTTTCATCTACATTGTAATCCTACGTCTCCGTGTTAGTCATGGATACAGACGAAGGAGGTGTAGAAAAGCCGCAATGGATCCAATTTGTTTGAAACTTGACACAATGTCAGCCCAATACTGATGACACCTCATCTTCAGCCCATTTTATCGCTCTATTAGTTTGTGTATTTTCTCCAATAATTGATATAAAAGTCTCATAAACAGAGGAGGATGAAATTGTAAATGTTATGCTTACATGGAAGATAATAAACTTGTAAGTTTTTTGCTCATACGAAAGATTGTCAACTTGTAAATTTTATGTTCCTCTGCGACATATATGAGGTACATGTATCAACAATGACTATTACATTTTATTATTGAAATGGTAGTAAAGATTATTTAGTTGCATTTTTATTTAAAATTTTTAAAATAATACGACATTTTGGACATCAAAAATATTCTTTGATTCACAGAACACAATGAATATCGGTCGAGGATTAAAATACTAAGCATGAAAAACAGTTTTTGAGGATTGCTAATTTCCATTGTAAGTAGATGCTCTGTAGAGCAACTAGCTGGGTTTTATATTTTAAGAATAACCCATCTTAATTAGGGTACAATAACTAGTTACTGACGGTTAACAAGAAATCTATGGAATAATGTTAAACGCACGAATTATCGCTCTGATGCGAACAGTTCGACAAACATGCTATCAAATATTAAATAAATTATTTCAATTTGTATATTATGGATTTCTCCTATCACCGTTTTTTCTTTTAATTTACCACCCTGCAAAGACCAATTTGTCTCCGAGTCATTTTTCCAACATCCGTCTCTCGCGCCTTTTACCAATTGACCGTTCAATCGAGCGCTTAATATTACCGAGAAACTTGACGTGCAAACCCAAAGTTTCCGTGTGGCATGTCCTAAACCAGCAATTACGACGTAAAAATACGCCAAGATTCTTCAATATCTTCTATCGCATTTTTCGTCACTCTTTACAGTGCATTTGACGCAGAAGCGCGCGTAGAGCAAGACCTGCTCAAAAGAAGATTTCAAATATTCAATTAACTCTCTGGAATAATTGTAAAATCTATATATTTAGCTCGTTAGCACACTTGGACGTTCCCTAGATACACCAATTTCAACCATCATGTCTCACCTTCGTATAATGAAATGTTTTGTGTGTTATTGTATTGAGAATTAGGTTAGACGGGATGGGATTTTCGGTGCTCTAAACAGGTATAATCGCCCAGCAAATTGACAGATGGGAGAAAACTAGATATTGATATGTTTTGTTCTTGGAACTGATCTGTTTTTCAATAAGATTATTTCATTTAAATCAATTTGTTTGGCCAATATTAGTTCTTAGTAGTTGTTTTTATTTTTTGTAACTGAAATATAAAAAAAATGCAAAGTTGTTAATTAAGAGAGGATGAAAGTCAACCATCTGTATTTGTATATATACAACAATGTAACACACTGTGATGTTTTGGAATTCAGAAGGAGGCCGTTTGAAACATTGATCGATGCAAATGACTGAAGGATTTCAGATTTATTTCAGATACTTTCCGAAAGTATATTATGTGCATATTTTGGTCTATATACCGGTAATTAAGAATGTCTACGTAAACAAATAGATAAAAAGCATTAAATATATATCAAAAAAGTAATATTTTTTCTATCAATTAAAAACAGAAAAAACCCAAGATTCATTATTTGCTTAAACCCTGGGTTTAGAGAGTTCGAAAGTCTTTTAGAATATAATGATGTAAGATTTTTTTTTTTGAAAAGGAAATGCAGACACCTGAATTTTTTATATCTTGATATATCATGATATATTACGATTTCGTCTACAATATCGTAAAACATTGTCTATTCTTTTCCTTCAATAATCATGCATCTCCACATATCAATATTTTACTGTGATGTAACTGAACGATAAACTAAAAACTGTTGTACTTTGAAGCTTACTGGAAGATTTTGGATCAATTTTTTTACAACTGAACTAAATTTCAAATTTAAAATCATAAAAATCATATCCAACTACAAATCATGGGAGATCCTATATATCTCGTCTTTGCACATATGATGAAGAACTGCTCGTATTACTCAACTGATGCTACATAAAAAAATTACTTGAGACACATATTTCTATTTCTAAATTTAGTTACATTTATGTTTTGATGTAAGATTTTTTTTTACTATAAACTTATTTCAATAATATTTGATTTTGTTTTTATATAATATATTTTCTTTCAATCTAAAATTTTTACCATTATACGTTAATAATCAACGATTATGTAAAAGTAGCAGAAACGTTAAAGATCTATTTTGAAACCATCGTGTAATTCACAATAAAGCACGGCATAAAAGTAAGATATTATTATATGGACAAACCTTAATGTACGCCACCTTATATGTGAAAAAAATGTGTCAGCAGTCAATTTTGTGTCAGAAAAAAACAATTATCAGATTGAAATTTGATAAAATTTTAATGAAAGATTTACATTAATATCAATAAATTATGCAGCCATAAACACATTGTGAATACTTGACTTTCTCGTTAATTCGGAATTTATTTGATTATTTTCAAAGATAACCTCCTTTTCTTACTTTTTGATTGATAATTATTGATAAGTCATTAACTTTTTTCAGGGAAATATTCCCTGGTGATTGTTTGTCGCAACGATCAGAAATTTTGTTGTTTCTGAGATATAGTATTACATCAAGTATGAAAACCTGTGGAAAATACACGCGCATTAAATGATACAGTCACTATAATGTGCTAACATTTAGTAATAGATCAACGATTACGGAGTAAAAAGGCTTCCTAAGCGATGAAACACTATCTGTATACTGGATCTGCCTGTTACAGCGTAAAATGTCTCTATTATTTCAGTGTATTATGTACAATCTTATACAGCACTCTATGTTCCTGGATTTTACTTATAAGATCTCACTTAGAAAGTAATTACAGCATGTATTTCAAAATCTTCCACGGAGTTTCATGAACTTGAAAGAAACACTACTAATGATTTCTTGCATCTTAAGCACCAACTATTGAGTTCTTATTTAATGTTCAGGCTTACGTCAAATTAAAATTTCATAAGGCAATAAATTGACGTAATTGGACTACATATAGATAACTTCTCTTGCGGACAATGTTTCCTTTGATGTGTTTCTACAATGAGGCCTCGCAATTTCACCTACCTTCTTTTGAAAGGTTAGAGGCATGACTGTCATCTGCGCTGAACTTCATTTTATATTTTATATCAATATACAGAAAACGATGCCTGGTCGTTAACATAATTGTAAGCAAATAAGACTGAGGAGAGCTAACAATCTCCAACATGCTCACCGATTAAATTTATTTCCCGGAGGCTTTTTGTATATTGACTGAATACTAACTTCAATTTTTCAAAACTGACCCACGCATACACAAACAGAGGCCCAAACGCATCTATAGACTACCTTCATTAATATTAGATTGAAATTGAATTTCTCTGTTTCAAAAATGCGAAAAGCCAATTGAAATTTTACTTAGAGCACATCCTTTATAGAAAAAGAGCAATATTAATATAAGGATTTTGTGATGCTTCTGTATTACATAATATTTTCTGAAAGTTATTGTAAAACTTACCTCTGACTGCTGGCAAGTGCGTGACGACCCCCAAAACTAAACCAAAGAAATCCAACCCCAGTAATCCAATCATTATATTTCATACATCTATCGATGTCATTGCTAAACTGTGTGAAGAAAAACTCAGCTCAAGAAAACTGTCTTCAAGTCCAACCTTCGATATCACGGCTCTCTCCCAGCGGGTCGGTCCTAACCAATAGAAGCTAGCTTCACTTTTGCAATTGATTATAGAACCATTGGGAGCATTTTCGCCTTTTCTCTTTTTTGTGCTGTACCAACTAAGATGCGCATTTATAACTAGATCAGCCAAATACTAATTAAGGGGTTCAAATAAACTTGCATTTGTTTTTCTATTGATTACCATAAATCATGAACAAATGAAATTATAAACGATCCCTGCTTCCTCAATGCTGAAATCCTGAAAGGTGTTAAACAGTGATTTAGGCCGATCACTTACTCAAGTGCCCTTAAAAACCAAATATCTTGGATCTGTTTTTGCTGGATATTAAATGCTCATCCAACACGCACGATTACTCAACAATGTTTCTCCTCGAATATACCAAAACTGCTTTTGCAATACCTCTGAAAACTTTCAAAACTGAAATATGTTGTGCATGTTTGTACCTATAAATGTATCATAATTTGTGTAAAATCATCAGCCAGCTGTAAAAATTTTCACATAATAGATATCAATATGAAATAAAATTTACTGAATAAAAAACACAGAGTGAACGATCTCAGAACATTGCTGACCAGGCAAGCTCGAAGAACATATAGGCCGAGAAAAGATTTCATAAATATAATAGATCTTGAATTTCTCCAATTTAATTTCTCAAACATGTTAAAACATTGTTTAAAACAACATTAAAACAAGTTGAGAAATTTTCAGATTAATTTCAAAGTATTACTTTTTTTTTTAAATTAAAAATTGGCTTCATTTTTTCTTTTTGGTTTGTTTGTTTTTGGTTTATTGGTCTTGAATAAGAGGTATGCTATATAAATAAAATTTCACAAACATTTTTAGACCTTTACAATTTTTTCATGATATTGAAATATTTACGGTTATTACAAAAATATTACTTATTTGAAAATTTGGAACCAGTATGAATAATACAAATAACATTTTTCCCATACAAGTTTTCGTGTATTTGAATAATTAAAATGAAGTAATTATTAATTTTAAAAAGTGGACAAATAAAGATGTTATTGAAATAAAAAATATCTTACAGAAGATCGTTGCAGATAATTGTTTTCTCATTTTTAATAAGCTGCATCAATGATAATGTAGGGGAACTTTGATATTTGAATATTTCATCTGTATTCTCCTCTCTTATAATAGTATGATAGAATAATATCAAAATATAAAACATTTCCCATGCAGAAACAACATATTCTTGAACAAAAATATCATAAACAAATACCTTGGTATTTTATTCTATCTTTCAAAATGTCATATATTATTATATCTTTGAAATCAAAATCATCGTAATTATGTATATCGAAGAATTTTATATATTATTTAGATTATATTGAGGGAGTTAATGGCTATTTTATAATACATGTATAACATTAATATAAAAGAGAACCATTTGCCGCAGCATTATCTCTTTGTATGGTATACGGGACCTCTTCCACCTCCTGGTATTGTTATTGCCTAAGTATTTGAAAGGTCTAAACTCCTTACAAAGCTTAAGATACCTGGAAAAATACAGTAAAATCAGAGTACTCACTTAGCTGTGAGAAATCGATCATTAATTAACTATGTTTGACCTCTGTAATACTCCTCAGTGCGGTATAACCATGAATAATTAAATAAATAAAGAGACGTTTTGGCGTCTGGACGTTAATTGTGGAAACATGCTAGTAAGTGCATAGGTATTCAATAGTTTTAGTGCTCATTGATAGCAAAATTCCCTTTGATCAGACTAGTAGAATATATATTTTTATCAAAAGGTACATAGAAAGAATGTATTTGCATACACGTAGAGCCATTGTGTGTAAGGTGTTAGTTAACAATGTTAACGCTTTCATTTTAATTTTTTTAACAAAAAGAATTAAATTAAATGAAGAAATTATAATTTATCACTGAGGATATGTCTGTTAACTATTGCTCAATCGGTAAGATAGGCTAGCGTTATTTGAACATTGAATTTTCTTAAGGTAACATTTTGTCTTGAAATTACAAGGAATAGAATATGCAAGATTTGTTCAAAAAGGTCAACTGACAACTAAATTATGAGACAAACAAGATGAATACTTTTTCATTGTAAACATGCCCTTTTTTCTCTTCTAACATCCCGCTATCACCAGACGATTTTTTCAAAACCCTCAACTTATTCGATACTTAAGAGCATGCCACAAGAACGATCAAATTTTTAAACCAAGTTAGACTATTGACAGATAAGTTGATATTACACGGATTTCAGAAACTTCATTGAAAGTCGGTAATTCGTAAAATCTATTGTATTCTTATGCAGGGCCTACGGCGGGTATGGTCCGTCAACAGGCAATGCTTATTCCCACTTAATCAAATTTAACACACAAACAAGGACGTAATAATTGGTTGAAAAAGGATATTTCCTATTTCTTATTTTTTAATTGTCATTTAGAGTTGATGTCGATAGATAGCGTTATCTAGATAAAAAAAAATATCACTTGAAATAATACAAAAATGACGACATTTACTTGCTCAAAGACATTCCTTAACTACTTTAGATAAAGAAACCTATTAAAATGAGACAAAAAATGTAGTACATGTAGAAGTTGAATAAGAGGAATAATAAACTACGATAAAACATCATATAAAGAGTGGAGACTTGTAATCATTAATATAATATTTATTTAATGGACTTTTCATTCTCTTTATTTAAACAAGATTAGTTTGAACAAATTCACTGTATATTGCCAAAATCCAATAAAATGTTATTGACCAAGACGAATAAAAAGTACAGAAGGGGTATTGATCGCAAGATAAACTGAAAATCTTTCCAATACCTGTCTAAGGAATAATTAATCTTCAATAAGATTTTGGAAGGAGCAAATATTCATTAGCACTTATTTCTCTCAACAAGTTGGTGGTCAAAGTGAAGAGGTCGATATTAAATTCTTTGTTCCAAAGAAAGAAAAATATTTGTCCGAGATTTATTTAAGAATGCCCGAGTAACGCGATACTTCTAATTGACTCGTATAAAATTCTGCTCTTATCGCATGCAGCACAGACGATTCTGATCGATTTTCATTCAACTTCGTATTTCTTCACAAATCAAAATATATATTGAATGAAAATCAGATATTCACATTTTCTGTTAGAAGACCAGCATTCATCACTGTAACATACTTGAAAAGAAATTAAGATATTATAGTATAGTACTAGTATTCTCCTTGCTTTTCAGCAAGTTAATAAAATTGATATCAATAGAACATACTTTAGTTTAAAGTTAATATTTTTAAAATTTGAGATACAGTCTAAGTACGTGCTTGAAAAGTCTCTTGATTATGAGTTGCCCGGAATACATTTCCTTATAATAAGAATTATTTTATTTTTTTATAACATTTTGGTATCTACACAAGATGCTAAAGCATGAACGATTTTCTAGATATTTTTTTAAAAGAAACAAGAAAAGTAACGATGCCATATCATATTTACCATCAGATTATATTTCTGGATAAAATATCGTTTTCTTTTGCCAGCTCTCCACTGGCAAGCGGTGCGTCTTCATATGAGTGAAAAATTCTTGAGAGGGACGTTAAACAACAAACACACGAAAAATTAAGTGAATAAAAGAAATTATATAAATGAACAAACTAAAATGCTCTTAACCCCCACCTTCAGTCATTAATCGTTTTTATTTATAAATAAGTTTTTGATACATTGATTATGTCTCTCAGTCGATTCATATCAAAGAACATGTTCTACGTATGAACAATTTCTAAAACGAGGCAAGCCTTTGACAAATAAGTTCATTAAAAAGGATTAAATCATCATTTCATAGTCGATACAATGACATTGTCAGCAAATACAACTTATCATTAAGTCAAATAATACCTGATTTTTTTTTCTTCATACTATCAGTTAGGCAATTTTCGTGTCTCTACATATTTTTCGTTTTACCGATTATGAAATGGAGCACACGACTGATTTGACCAGTAAGCGTAAGAGTAAGCTCATAATTCCTCTACAGCAACTGATCTAACTTCAGATGCTTGTGGAGATCTTATGTTTGCTCTGCATCTTTTTTTTTGTATTTTTTAAATTGACTTTGAGCTTGAATACTGTTTGTTATCTCTATATTCCATGTTGTATATATACTAATCACGTGATGTAGTTGCATATCGTGCAGACAATTTTTTTCTTGTATTTTGAGTAGTATTTACTTCTTGTATTTTGTATGTAATACGTTAATTGATTTCGGATAAAAAATATACATTGTGAAACCTTTTCCTGATTTACTGTGCCCGTAACTTACAATTTTACAATGTGACATACATTTAGATCTAATCTACTTGTAATTAAAAAATTACATCGTAAATATAATTTGGATCTCATCTAACTTACAAATTCACATTGGAAATCCATTTTGATATGCCATCGCCCTTCTTTTTTTAAATGTTTGTATTTGTTTACGATCTGATTTGATCATAATAGTATCATATTTTGACCAATGCATATAACTTTGTAATATTGATTGGTAGTTGATTGAGGAAGCATAAATCGGGTATTGGCTCTAGAACAGAGAGAGAATATTTTGAATATTAATTTTTGTTAATTTTTATAATATTTTATTATCATTACATTTAGGACAGATGATATAAACAAACTTTGAACAAACCATTTGAAAATAACAACTTTAGTCGTGTTTATATAAGTAAAACGAACACATTTAACTGTATCTTTTTTTAATTTTCACTGAAAGTTTCACAATAATGGAATTTGAAGTTGTAAAAAAAAAATTGGATAGATTAATAGGGGTGATTGTAGAAAGGTAGAATTTGAACATCATAAAAGGTTTACAATTTCTTAATATTTCAGAAATTTCTAACTTGTATTTGCATCATTTAAAAGGAAAATAAATGTAGCCCACAAAATATATACCAAACCAGGCACCCATATTTATTTTTGGTTTGTATCAAATATTACTTATATGGAACGTCAAAAATAATATAAAGTAAGTTACTTTAAT